ACCCTTGTTCTACTTTATATAGATAATAGGTTGCCAAACTAACCCAAAAATAACTAATAATAACATACCTCAGCTATTCATACACAACTACCGCTTCTTTTCTCTTGTTCCTTATATTTCATTAAAAACCATTTTCAAAATGCTTCCAGTAGCATTCTTCATAAATACATGTAATTCAAGCTTACCACTAATTCAACAACTTTCCTCTCTTCCTCTATCTCAGAATCCCAATTTTCACAATAAAACAAATGACACAACTTTCAATTCATCTCCTCTTAATTAGGAGTTACGGCATAACAAAAACCAAATTATGTGTTGCTCCCACACTCACCCTAACACAACCAAAATCTCTCTTTCTAAACTTCTCCTGCTTCTAAAACACCAAATTCCTCAAAAACCAAACACAGATAGTCAATTCAAATTCATAAACTAGGGTTCAAAAAGGAAAGAGATGGATATGAATCAATTAACAATTAACGAATCATAAAGAAAAGATTAAAAAAAAAAAAAGAATCAATCAGGAGAACACCGTTAATTGGAAGAACTCGTGAGGACAAAGGCCGGACAAGTAGAGGCGGGACACATCGTGATCGTAGTACTTCCGATTCACCTCCCTTACATCACCATTACGGTACGCATCCATCAGCACATTGAGCTGCTTGCGAAGTGTTAGCGCACTTCCTAAAATGACTTGGTATTGATACTTAAGGTTACAGAGCGGTCATGAATCTGAAAAGCCCAATGCTAATGGTTCTAAAAATCGAGATTAGGGAGATTGTGGCTCATGATCCCTTCTGCTGAAATTTGACAGTGGGTTGGTCTATTATATATGCTTGCTGAGCAGTGCTAGGAACACTCGCCTCCTGCACTCTCCGGTCAACACTTCCATTTTTATTGGGCCACGTTATTTTGATTTAAGAGGTTGCGTTTCAAAAACTCGTAAGCAAGCTTACGTGGCCCAATGAAAGTGGAAATGTTGGCCGGAGAGTGCAGGAAGCGAGTGCCCGTAGCGTTGCTCATGCTTCAATCTTCTCTACGGTCTCCATTTGTCTAATAAAGATGTATCTCTCTGTCTCTTGTATATGTGGGGTCCTATTGGGATGTTTTCTTAATTAATTCCTTAATTCCCCAAAGGCCTGCTCTGTATCAGTGGTATTGGATCTGGTTAGGACTGTTTACTTTCGGTAAATTACGTGTTAAAGTTTTATGAAATTTTTTTTTATTTTAATTAATTCTGTAAATAATTATAAATTACTCAAAAAAAAAAAAAAAAAACTTACTTCCCATACTGTTTGGCACCCAAAATGTTACCTCATTTCCTAAAACTGATATATATATTTTTTGTCCATTTGCAAATTATGGTGTTCAATTTATTCCATTACAGCAGTTCAGTTTGGCTTTATCATTGTTATAGGCACAGTATATTCGCTTCTCTTGTTACTCGTTTCGTATTCAATCTTGCCTTTTTGCTTTCCTGGATTCTGTCAATTATCAAACACGTACTAGTTGTAAAAAACTATTCTCAAATTTCGATGGATTGTTAACCTAGGAAGGTAAATTAAATTACTAGACAAATTAAAGAAAAAGTACATGTGACTTGTCACTAAATATGTATATTTTATAAGTAGAGTTTGTATAATTTTGTTTATCATTAAAAAAATAAAAAATAAAATTTATTTAATTAGTTATCTAATTAAAACAATACATGTAGTATTAGTGATAAAATTAATGTTAAATTTT